TTGTCTTCACACATCAGATGTCTCATATTTTAAGCATACCTTTCATTGACACTGTTGTCTCCATCATAATCAAGTATACATACTTAACCCTCTGGTTCATTGTTGTTCGTAGTCAAAACTGACCAGAGATCATAATCGTATAATAATTGTATTTTAATTAAACAAATGTACTATATTTCATCTCAATAATGTTTTTTTTCTTTAAAACTTGGTATTTTGAGGAGATTATATGTATATAATAATAGGCCTATGATTTGATTTTGATTTTCAACCATAATGATTGGCTGTAACCATTATGACCGTTTTTGTATCATGGTTACAGACAATCGAGAAAGCTTTTTGTTACACAATCTAATACAAACATCAAAATTCAATAAAAAAAAATGAACAGGAATGCTTGACCAGAACTCGAGTAATCTGACTTCAACCTCTTAGTTGAGTCTTCTGGCTCAACTTACTGGTAAACAGTCTCAGACTGTGTGTGTGTGTGTGTGTGTGTGGCCGCGTTCACACTGCCTGCAGCAGACGCTCCCCAGCGGAACTCTGCAGAACTGACACTATTACAGTTATACAAATTGCAATATACTGGTGTTTTAAGTGAAGTCTTTGCTTTGGTTTTGCAATTTTGTCCACTTTTTGTATTTTAGCATTCTTATGCGACTTAATTTTCATGGTAAATAAATCTCTAGTAAAGCAAATCTCTGTTTATTGATATACGGAAAAAGTAAACATGTAAATATAAGAATTATCAATAACAGAGAACAGCAGTGGTCTTGCCTATTACCCTAAACTCTGCAAAGATGACTATAAATTGCCAGTGGGTGTTTCTGTGCAATTTTGTCCCTGTGAATTAATCTTCTTTAAAAGACACACTTGAAAACTTGAGAAATGACACACAATAAAAATGTTATGTTCACAAGTGAGCATTACCTTGATTTTCTTTGTTTTTCTTCCACATCAGAAGCCTCATATTTAAAGCATGCTCTTCGCTGACACTGCATAGTCTCCACAGTAAATAAGTACACTTAAAAACAGTGCAATTTCAAACTTTATAAAAATGTTATAAAAATAAATTTTGTTCTGTTATGGTAAAAATTACACCACAACTAAAGGCAATCTTACAGGCGGTACTGTGCAGACACGCCCTGTCTGTAAAGTACAGCCTCCTTCATACTGTATAAATAATCATCTGAGAGATGTGACGGATGCAGAGGCTCTTCCGCTGAGGACCTTCAATCTGAGGTAGGATGAGTTTAAACTGAAGTCTGTTAAATATTGCAATATTACAGATATACTGTCATATATACTAATGTCTTCAAAGAGTTCAAAATATATTCAGATTATAAATTAGAATTATGAATTACATTTACTGAATTTTATTGAAATGTATTGATTTAATATATTTTTTAAATGTACACAGAGTGGCTTTGTGGCACTTTTTAAAAAACATTTGTAGTCCTAACTCACAGAAATGCTACACCTTTAAGAATCTACATAAAATGTTTTACAATAATGTATTGTAAAATATCTATTTTTAATATTATTTAGCATAAAATAGCATTTTTATCTTACAATCTTACATTCAATATAAAAATATAACATTTTTCCATTATTAAATTGCCAGTTTATAATCCAATTCTATTTACAGTTTATATGTTTTATTTACAATATTTTGTTTTTGATTAAGATTTTATGCCATGGGTGCCATGAAACTCTGCTTCCTACTCTTCTGCCTCTCCTTGGCATTACTTGGTGTCTCTCCTGTGAAAAGACTTAACAATATTGATGACTTGACAAACACTGAATATGGCAAGTCTAAGCCACGTCATGGACTCCAGTTATTGTTCTGGTTTGCCCAACAAGCGAATATTGATCAAAACAACAATAAAATCCTTTTGAATTTTTATCCTAATAGTGGTGCATTTGGATTCCGTCGGTTTGGAGATAGAGAAGGCATTCTCGAGGGATCGGAACATGGACAGTATAACTATGAGGTTGGCAATCTAAATTCAAGAAGATATCGTGCAGCCGCTGCTTTGCCGGCTTATGTGCAGATGTATTACAATAAAACAAAGTAACTGGCATTACTTTTTTGAAAAAGTAACTCAGATATTTTCTTGTAAATTAAAAAAGTAATGCGTTACTTTACTAGTTACTTGACAAAAGTAATCTGATTACGTAACTCGCGTTACTTGTAATGAGTTACCCCCAACACTGATAATGGCGATTTGCTAGAAAGAAACATGGACAGGCTTATTGTCTCTTTGGATGAAACCACAACAAACAGAATACACAATGTGTTTATTGCAGCACATAACCGAGGCAACCTTGACTTTAATTCTGATGACACTTATGAGATTGATCCTGATCTGCTCTCGCAGATCAGACAAACTTATCCCTGCACAGGTAATGAACAAGAAAATAAAAACAGATGCAAACAGTTTCTGAAAAGGATAAGATATAGGACTAGCAGCTGTAGCTCTAACTCCCGAATGAAACGCTCACCCTATTCCCAATGCAATACATTTGATAGCATTAAACTAGAGATTAAAACAACTACGCAAGGTTACTCAAAACTCATATGGGAGAATATAACTCTCGGCATAATGAAAACATACAAATATGTATACATTGATATTTGCCAAAACACTCATTCCAGTGATACTAATGAAGATCCGATGCGGGTCGAGAAAGCATATTTCCTCATTTCTGACTCATCTGGGGCTTTAGATACTTCTGTCTCACTGAATGCTGGTCTCCAACCCCGACTGCGACTGTACACATCACTTTTTAATTATGTTTTGAAACGTCTAGACTTTTGGTATGGACCAGAGTTTGATGGAGCTAACAGAGTGATTCCCATCAGAATAAAGGGGGTTGACGCTAGTCTGCAGCTCTACGCTGAATACGGAAAAGCCTGCGCTCGACTCTACATCAAGAAAACCTTTAGCAACTGGAAGGATGTTCTTAAAAACTCATGGGTGGGGTTCTACAAAAGTTCACAACATGAAAATAATGACTATTACACATTTCAGTATGCTGTGAACTTTGCATTGATCGACAACACTACCACAGAGGATTATGATATTTACCAGTACGATGCCAGTTTGACTATTGCTCCTGGAGTTCAAATCCGTTTCCTACTGGACAACGAATATGACAAAGTTTTAGCACAAACAACGCCCTGGGAAAGTGATGTAAAAGTGACATCAATTTGTAACAAAGGGAATCTTCAGCCTAACCCTTCATCACCCTGGTCTTTTCCAGAATTTTTTTATGAACCAGGGTACTATGATGCTAACAATGTCATCCCTATTAAAATACGGTGGTATGATGCTGGTCTGCAGCTCTACACTGAAGACGGTAAAGCTTGTGCTCGACTTTATATCAAGAAAACCTTCACAGACTGGAAAAATATCTTCTGGAAGTCATGGGTGGGGTTTTACACTAGTTCACAAGGTAAAAATAGTGATTATTACACATATCAGTATGCTGTGAATTTTGAAAAGATGGAAGGTGGAACCGAGAATTTTGATATTTATCAGTATAAATCCAAATTAACCATTGCACCTGGAGTTCAGATCCGTTTCATGATAGACAAAGGTTATGAGAATAAATTAGTGCAAACTGAGCCCTGGAAGAGTGGTTAAAAACTCACCATTAATGAATCAAGTTATTTACCTTCATTTATATAGCGCTTTTTACAATACAGATTGTGTCAAAGCAGACATAAACATACATTATGACGTATCATAAAACCTTTAAAGCAGGATAATATCGTTCTAATAGTGACATTTCCTTTTTTTCGGAGGTCTTCCAAACTTAACATATATGTGTTATTTGTAACAATATTAATCTACTGTCTGTGTCTTGATAAGTATGACAATTAATAAATTGTTCTAATAAACGTTCCATTAACTGTTAACCACAGATGTCTCTAATATATACATCTTTATTTGTTATTAACAAATGAATTATTCTAAATGAGATAAATTAATCTTGACATGTAAATCATAATATATAATTAAAAATATTGAATTTTACTGCAGTGTATCAATAATACAAAACAGCCTTGCTCTGCTTGTTTTATTCAACTGGTCTATTAAAATGCATCTATCTAATGAAAGTGACTTGAGTCTGTGTCCTTGTTTTAATATTCCACTGGACAAAACTGTATTTTCTTTAGCAGTGGTTTTATAGGTTGGTTTCAAAAACTTGTTTCAAGAATATTTTTGTGAATTCCATTGTCTTAAAATTTGGGTAATTCTGTCACATGTTTTAGAGGTGATTAATTTGTACAATTTATTAACTGGAATATTTGTTGGCCAATCAAATGACTTGATATTTTTAGGTTTACCGTCATTCCTTTGATGGTCATAAATATGGCAGATGAGCAGGAAAAGTCATGTGACTGAAACAGATGAATAAGAATAAATCTACATAATAGAGCACAGTGTTAGCATATTGTTTAGTAACTTAACCATACTCGCTGTCAATACTAACAGGAATATGGACAATATTGACTGACAGTTTTAGATTTAAGTAGATTTCATGTTTACTCAAAAATTTTATAATGCTAATAAAACAAATGTTTCAAATCACTTTAAAAAAATACATAATTATTAATTTCTCCATTAGTCATTGGTAACACATCAGCAGATTTTTGTTTTGGCAAGAGTGGCTGGTTTATTCTTTAATGTAACAATTCAGTTTCATTTTGATCAGTTGATTCTAGGAACATCAACTTCAGCTTTCCATGAAAGGAAATTAGACCAACACACCCACACACAGCAAAAGCATTGCACGTGCAGTTAATGAAGAGCTTGTGAAACATAGAATGAGCTTGACAGACACTTAGTAATTTCATTTATTTTGAACAAAACCACTACCTGCTCACCAGATCATTTGGACATCGACCCTTTAATCTAAAGGTTATTAGAGCAACATTTATTTTGTTCTTAACCGTAAATGTTTATTATTGAATGAAAGTTATTACGCATCAATATACTGTGCATTTTCAGAGAACATGGAGGATGGTAATAAGATGTATTTTCAATTTTTATGAGCACGAGTCCAATTTGGCCACTGAACCCAGAATACAGATCTATTTCCAGAAGAGTGTATAAGAACTCCCCATTAATAAATCAGATTATGACAAATTAAGAATATAAAAAATATATAACATTATATATTAAGAATATTTAAAATACTAAATGCAGAATTATAAAAATAAACAATAAAAAAAAGAATATTTGGGTGTGTAGCTACAGTGTTTATGTACTTCATTGCTGTTGGAAATCTGCATCTTCAAGAGTCACAACTCGTGAAAAAATGAACAAAACACTCAGACCGAACTCAGGAGGTGAACTAATTTCTATGTCCTATAGGACTACATTTGCGGCTGTCACATCTAGAAAGAAAGATTTGGGCCAGAAAAAAAGAAAGAGTCGTTCTTGATCGACCCATCACAAGTTGAAATGCAAAATTTGCATGAGAAAGCAACGTTTAAAGCTATAGCGTGCAATGCTCATACACTCTCAGAAAAAAAGGCACCACAGCCTCTGCATGAACGTGAGAAATAGCTTTTTTACTGCTATATAAGAGAGGAACTATTTCACTTCGGTGGATGGGGACTTTAATGTGCAACTATAAAAGGCAAATACTAAAATGGCAATTGCTTTTAATTTTTAACACCATATGCTTTCACATGCTTCCACACTGTAAAAAATAAGTGTAATTTTAACTGTAAAATTTTGTAAAAATGCTACGGAAAAAAACTGTTAATAGGTTAACAGTAAGTTCCCGTACTATATACAGGGAAAAACTGTAAAATATCTAACCAGACATTTCATGTAATTTTACAGTAAAATGCTGTTAATTTTACAGTTTTTAGAAGTAAAAATAACAAATCAATGTATAATTTACAGTCAAAAACTGTAAACTGATATTCCCAGAATTCCCTGCATGACACTCCACATTTGAAAGTATTTTGTTTAAATAATCATGTTTTTTTAATAGTTTTTGTTATTAGTTATGTATATTTGGGCTTTATGTTACATCTTCTGTTGTTTAATGAAAGTTTAATGCATTATTTAAGTATCATGTGTGTTACCATGATGGTGTTTTGTGTTTCCATGAATGACTCTGTGCACCTTCTATATATTAGTATATACTTCTGCTTGTGGCGAAGCTACTTGTGATGAGCTTTGATTCTTCATGTGGCTTTCTCTTTTACCACCTGCATTATTATGGTGGTTGTCAGTATGTTACAAAACAGATTTTAATAGCAGTGTGAATTGTTGAATTTACTGGTTTACATTCAAATTTTCTTGTTTGTAAATTACAGTTTTATACTGTAAAATTTAGCAGTTTTTGGCCGTAAATGTGTTTACAATTTTTCTGTATTTTTTACAAAATTATTCTGGCAACCACAGCTGCCAAAATTATTTTGTAAAAACTACAGAATTTTTTTTACAGTGCATGTAAGATCACTCAACTTTGTGTCGTGCACAGGGTTGTGATCATTCTGTAAGGGTTTATTTTGCAACAGAGACTTGCTGACTGGATATCTCGTGCTGTGAACTTGTGTTCCCCTTTCATAAAAAGAAGGAAGTTGGATCTGAAGGAAGAAACTTTCTCCAGTTTGGATCTGTCACCCTGCAGGTCATGTTCAGTCTCAGCCAAACAGTTATATGACATATGGGAGAAAGATAGAAAAGCTTTTAAGTTTTAAGGCTGCTGACTTGCCATCCTACAGTATATGCCCTTTTTGACATTGGCAATGACAAATTACTATTGCAGAAACTTTGAATGGAGATTCACTGTTTCACAAACCCCAACGGGCAATAGTAATGAAATAAAACAGAGGAAATGAAATTAGAGTTAAAAATATGACCAAGTGGCTTTGCAGAACTCACATTGGAACACATTCACGAGAATATAAATAACATGACTGCATGGCTGTTTACAAAAATGTTGACTTCAGCAATGCATTAAGTGAAAGCTGCTTTGGATAAAAGTGTCTACCAAAAGCAAAAATGTAAATTAAACAAGCCGTGTTTCAGAGGCCACTAATGACAACAGTAGATTATAGAACAAGTCTGTAACTCTGAAGTCACTGAAAGATTGTGACCAGACTTCAAGTAAGAGAATTTCTGTTACGAGTGAGATTTGACAGAAATTCAATTTGACATCTAAATAAAAAAAGATAGCACAGAGAATTTGTACATTTATAGCATTCAAATTTGGCCATTGAACCTGTAGTTTAGATCTGCTTCATGTTGAAAAAAACAACAACTTATAATTATGCACACCCTAGGGTATACCCTAAGTATATCACAATCAAATAATGATGACCTGTTGAATGTTGGCCTTCCACCTGAGCAAGGGATGACCGATCCAAAAAAGTTCATCAGACAAGACAAATGCAGCTGTCTTGACAACATAATTTAAACATTCTGCTTACTTAAGAGATGAATTATTACTAATGCTTTTACAAGCACTAAATACATATCCAATTCAACATATATAGGATTGTATGTGTATTTTGGGGCAGCTGGGTTTTTGGGCACATACTGCCACCTGCTGTCTACTGTATGTGCTCACAAACTTTCATTTGCCCAGGTTTACTGAATATTTGAATATTTGTTTTAGTGTGCTGTAATGCCAGAGCAGCCTTATGAGCATACAATATTGTGCACAAATTCACAAAGTGTCAACTTTACTAGAAATGTTACAGACAAAACAGAACAGTGTTGCTGTCAAAACCATTTATTAATTATAAAAATAAATTCTAAACAATACATTTTATAGAAGGATTTCTGTTTCTGTTCATTTGTTCAGCTTAAGCCAGTTTTAGACCGATCTGATGGTGTCCACATTATGATGACTTTTTTATGTTCCTGCAAGAGACAATTAAATAAAACCCTTAGGAGAGGATTCTCAAGTTTTAACTTTAGCTCATTCATATTTACCAGTATATTCAGCATATGGAGACATATGACACTGCACATTACAAAACTTTACACTGGGTCAGTAATATACTTGCAGTTTAGTCATTCACTATAGCCCCTTTAAGTCTTGTGCTCATGTGCCATTGCCAAGAGACATTAATGTAAGTGTGTGTAATGCTGAACTCACTGGATATGCAAGATAGCGTTCTGAACCCATAGATCATCAGGGTTAGCACAGATCTGTCTGTTCTTCACCGTAGTAAAACTACAGGAGAGAGAATATTCTAGATTAAATATTACAGATATTACAGATTGTTCTCTTACATAAACATTAATGCAAAATGTTAATCTATTTAAGACAAAACCAGTGTTGCTCCTCACATGACAGCCTCTATGTTGCAGGTCATGGTGGCGTCCTGTCGAGTGAAGTCTTTCAGTCGGAGGACAGGAAAAGGCAGTGATGAATATTTGGTACAGCACCTCACTGGACCTTAACACATGACAGACTCTCAGTTTATGTGGTTTTATGACACTTGACCAGCTATCCTGACCCATAGCTTTATTAAAAAATTCATTAATTTGCTCATTTTCCTGGTAATAAACTTGGCATTGTATACTATTAATATTGTTGACTCTGTGAAAAATTGTTTCTCTATTTTAAGTCGTTTTGGACAAAAGCACCTGCTATATGCATAAAT